AACCAATGATAATGATAAACAATATAGTGATGGCAAATGGCATGAAATAATTGCTATTAGGCATCAGGCTACCGGCCAAGTCACTCTTGATGGGCAGTATACAGGTAAGAACTTCCTTGCTATATAAATGGTTCTATTGATACATTGATGCCGCCGTACTTCCCTGTTGTTTTTATTTTCATGTCTCTTCTTTCTCCTTCATCGCCGCTCAGTTTCCTCTAAACTGCGGTTGAATTTGCCTTCTGGGTGCTCCTACAATGATGCCTGACAACCAGTTTCTCATCCATGGCTTTAGAAAAGCAAAAATGAGGGAAAAATCACCAGTAGCAATCTTGTATCTTTGACAGCATGCTACAATTTGCAAGGGCTTTTTACTTCTGTTCTCTCACGTTACTTTTGACCTTCAGAAGGCAAATGCAGTAAAATAAAGCAGTGGCTATCTGCATTGTAGATATGAGGAAGACAAGGTTCAGAAAAGGTAAATAGAATTTCTCCCCATTTAGGCACCTGGTAGGCAGCATTCTTAGGACAGATACGCTGCTTTTGCAATTCTGAGTTTAGTATTCTTTCCAGTCCACTCTACCTACCATCTTCGAGTAATTATAAAATACAGTATTTGTATGATGATTCATTTTTTATTAATTCATTCATGAAATATGTAATTTAAATGACCACGTACTATGTGCCATATATTGTTCCAGGCACTCTGGATGCAAAGAGCAAACAGCTTTGTGAAACTTACTTGTAGGGGAGAAGGGAAAAGACAGAATTAAGAAATACTGAACAAGTATCAGGTGGTGGTAAATTCTGAGAACAATAAAGCAGGATAGAAGGAAAGGTTTGTGTGTCTGTGTGTCTGTGTATCTCTGTGTGTGTATGTCTGTGTGCGTGTGCATGTGTGAATTGTGGGTGGGATTATTACAGAAGACCTCTATGATAAAACGACATTTGAGCAGAGATCTGAAGGTGTGAAAGACAAAACCATGCAAATATCAAGGAAAAAAGTATTTACTTCAAGGACCTAACAGATGCCAGGCCCTGAGCTGGAAGCATACCATATATGGCATGTCAGGGACCAACAAGGAGGCCAGGGAGGGACAGAAGGAGTAAGGAGTTAATGATAGGTCAGGAGATCAGAGAGGCCACTGGGGACCAGATTGTGTAGGACCTTGTGGGCTTTTACTTTGAAAGAGGGAAGTCATTGGAGGACTTTGAGAGAGAAATGACAAGATATGATTTCTTTCTTTAAAAGAATCACTTTGTCTGCTCTGTTGAGGATAGATTTTAAGGGGAACAAGGGTATAAGCATGAAGACCAATTAATAGGCTTTTTCAATAATTCTGCAATAATTCAGACAAGAAATCATGGTGGCTTGAACCAGAGAGGTAATTGTTGATGGAATGAGAAGTGGTCAGATTCTGGATGTACTGTGAAGGTCAAATTAACAGGAATTGATGATGAGATTGAGGTAGAGTAGGGGTTAGCAAACTACAACCTAAGGGTCAAATCCTTCTCATGCCTGTTTTTATAAATAAAGTTTTATTGGGGCACAACTGTGCCCATTTATTTATGTGTTGTCTATGACATCTTGAGACAGTATGGCCTACAAAGCCTGAAATATTTTTTATCTGGCCCTTTACAGAAAGAGTTTGCTAACCCCCTGATGTAGCACGTGACTGCAAGGCTCGGGGTCTGCACAACTGGAAGACTATAGCTGCCATGTCTATGGTGGGGAAGACTGTGGGAGAAGCAGATTGGGGAGAGAAGCTCAGAGCTCAGTTTTGAACGCGTTAAGTCTGTGAGCTATCCAAGCGTGGATATATCAAGCAGGCTGCTGGATATGTGAGCATGAGTTAGGGGAGAGGTCGAGCCTGGAGACACAGAGTGGGAGTTGTCAGCTAAGGAGTGTATTTAAAGCAAAGGACTGCGTGTAATGAGGCTAATTAGAGTGGTTTGGGGCTCTGTGGAAAAA